CATGTGGTCTATTCTTGACAAATCCAACTCCTTCAGTAACCTCACTTCTTAACCCCATCAAACACCAAAACATGTTTTTCTAGTCTGCTTTTTTTTTTTGTACATATACTAAAAGCAGTATTAGCTCGCTATAGCGATCACCTCCTTCTCCTCTTCCTACTTATCATTTCTTGTTCGTCTGTCGTGGCTTTTTTTTTAAGGTCTAGAATTTTTTTTTTCTCGACGAGTTATCGTCGATGGTTTAGATGCTACGCTTTTCCCACGTGACTATGTTACGGTGGGCTTTTCTTTGGTGAGGAAAAAATGTCTATCTTGAGTTCTATATCATTTGTATGAGATGATTGACATTATTGCATGAGTTCTCCATAATGTAAAATAAAAGCCTTGTATCGACCGAAGTTGCACATGTGTTAAATTATTTATTAGAGAAGAAGAAGAAAAATTCCATTAGTTAAAAAAGAAAATGACAATTCAGTCTCAAGTAAACTCAAATCTTATTATCACTAAGAGAAAAGAAATTGTAATACATACTATAATGTTTTTTTAGCAATTTCAGTAGGTGTATTAAGGAAAAGACAAACCAACTAAAGTTTACGTAGAACTAAGTTTCAAGAAAAGAAAAAAGTTGAAGTATCTATAAATGTCTTTTATTTGTATGTTTGATTCTCATAATCACTTATATAAAGAAGATCATTTGTAATAAACAACCTTGACTTAATAGTTTATTTACTTGCTATTTTATTGATGTAGAAACATACCTTCTTCAACTTTCATATTTAACATACTTTTACTTATTAGAGAAATTACAACAATTACCATTAGAACTCATATGACATAATTTGTTAATTACAACAAATATATATATATATAAACTTAACTGTAAAGGATTTATAAATGAAAATACTAATATGTAGTTACCTAATCTATCGTTATACATGTAAAACTAATATACAAAAATTCGCGACTTGTATCAATCATGCAAATTAATGTCCCATAACTTAGACATAAGCTATGGTACCATATGTATACATTTCTTATTTAAAATTTAATTAAATTGGTATCTATAGTTTTCATATATTTAATAGAATGTTAAAGCGAGGTATACAAAATACTTTATGATCACTTGTTTCATAATAAATCAAGTTATTGACAAATGTTTCATCACCAAAGCCAAAAAATATTTGCAAATTTATAATATTTTTTTATTTCATTTCGATATCTACTTTTTGTTAATTTTTAATAAAATATATATAATAAATTTGTTATATATATATATATCCAGGCAAGTTGATTGTTATCTAGTGTTTTTATTATTACTCAAACCTCTACCAATTCAGGATATACCTCAAGGATAAGGGGGCACAAGTACAACTCATAAGTTATACACAACAAAAATTGATCAATAATATCCACACAAAATTACAAAATTTCCAACAAAATAATAATAATAAAAGGAAATAATTAGGATTGACAGCGGTTTGAGCTTACAAAGGAACCCAATCACTGAACAAGCATATGACGACCGTATATCGACAGTGGGTTTAACTTTTGATGATTGAAATCTTATTAAACTCTCAAGTGGGACACTTGATTCTCACAACGTGCCTTGTCTTCTGAATTCTGATCTTAGTAAACTCTCTCTTTCTCATTTCCCTCATTCTCTCGCTCTAAATTTCAGAACATGCTTAAAGTTTGGGAAACATCTTTAATCAGTGCCGGCTAAAGGCATGTGCTAGCAGTGTTTTGCATTAGCCCTTTAATTTTTTTTTGGTAACTTTCATTAAGAAACTAGGGTTTTTTTTTTCAAAAAATCATATAGATTATTTTACCTAAATTCATATAGATTAGGGTTTTAATATTAAAATTTTCAAGTATATATGTAACTATAACTTGGAAGAAAAACATTTCTCAGCACAAGGCCCATACTTTGATTAGCCGGGCCTGAACTTAATCAACAGATCGTCTCTCACTCAGCTCGGCAAACCTATGTCCCTTTGAGGTAAACGCATCTAAGATTCTTCACTTCACACCGACCTGTGCTTCACCTAACCAGGTTTTCTAAATCAAAGCTCGGAATTCTTAACGCAAACACGAGAGTTTATACTATCGGATTGGATGCAATGACTAATGTAGATGATTAAGGGTCTTATAACATATTTTTCTATATATTTTGTTGTAAGAATACACATTGATCAATTATTTAATTTTATTGAACAACATGTTGAAGTAGTTAATCATTATGAAGAGTTTTGTCATTTGCTTTCGTCAATATAACTCTTAGGTAAGAACAAAAACAAAATAAAGCCACCTGGACGAGCTAGGCCAACTAGCAGTATACCCTTGACATTTGTCTAAGAAGTCACCGATTCAAGTCTTGGACAAAGAGTATCCAGGGCCATAAAAGGTACTGACAAAGGCTGGTTCCGAAACTAGGGAGATTATGGCATTCAGCCCGAACTTCCTGGTTCTACAAAATAACAAAACAAAAACAAAATAAATCCATATTTTTCTTTTAGAAGTTTACTAAAAAAGAGATAAATAATTCTGTCATGCCTTTAGAAATCACAGTACGCTTATAGCTCAGCCCGAACTTCCTGGTTCCAAGCCTAGGGAGATTATGACATTTAGCCCGAACTTCCTGATTCAACAAAATAACAATAACAAAATAAAGCCGCATTTTTCTTATAGAAGTTTACTAAGAAAGAGATAAATAATTCTGCCATGCCTTTAGAAATCGCAGTATGCTTATAGCTCAATTGCTTCTTTCATACCATCGTTGAATTAAACGTTTTACTGAAGTAATATATAGAGATAGTATTGTATTTGTAACCAAATTTTTTTTTTCTTCTGGACAACACTTTGTAACCAAATTTATAACAAGAGAATTCATTATCACGATATGTACTCCTAAATTAACGTGGCATGTTCATGCATACATAAAGATGCAATCATATTTCCAAGTTTGTATACAATACAGCCAATGAACAATATGCAGAGCCGGTCCTAATAAATATGGGGCTAGAAACAAAAATTAAAAATGTGGCCTATTTATTCAAAGGACATCGAACCCGCAACCCAATACCTTAGTAACAAATACCTAAATCACTAATGCTAATAAGAACTTTCTGTTCAAATAAGGCCGAAAATGTTGATAAATTCTGGTGGCCGGAAGCAACCGCTTCCTTAGCTTCCATGAAGGGCCGGCTCTGACAATATATGACATCTAATGTTTTAGTTGATAGGCACGAGGGCCCTCTGAGTGATATACAAACACTGATCATCTTTCATTCAGTGGCATGCGAACGTTTTTAGGGGTCTAAGACAATTTTTCTTCTTTTGACAAGAGCAATTTTGTTCTCAAATGATCTCTTCATATAAGATTTTGGTACGTTCACAAATAAATAAAATGGTAGATATATCGACTATGTTTATAATTAGAGTCTCAAAACAGAATCCAAACTAAACTCTAGAAAAAGGATATATGACAATTGACAATCAAACTCTTTATGTACATACATAACACTAAATAAGAGCACTATTATCCCTGAAGCTTAGAGGAGTGCTTAGGGGGTGGGAGCCACCAAAAAGGTAAACCTGGACGCTTTCTGATGCAGAATAAGCGTCCGATTTTCTGTGTTGTTTGGCCTATTCTGCGGGTTCCACGACACGTGGTGACCCGAGATTGGTCATTTTTTTATTTATTTTTTAAATCCGAAAAAATTAAGCATCCCCTAATGGAATGCTGGGATAATAGTGCTCTAATATATTTTATATATAAATAGCGCCCTAGATATTAACGAAAACCTATGGAGCCTAAGAGCACCCCCATTGAGAGTTCAAATGGGGGGTTCACACGGAAACCAAAAAATAATAATAATCCCTCTCTCCTAAAGTTCTCTCGGGTGAACCCCTCTCTCCTGAGGTTCAACACGTGTCAGCTCGGGATTGGTCTAGATTTTTTTTTTCTTTTAAAAAAAAATCAAAAAGAAAACAGAAAATTTTTAATAATAAAAAATGATTCAATGAACCTCAAGAAGGGGTTCATTGATGTGGATGCTCTAAGGCTATTGCCTTTTTAAACAAGGGGCCGGGTAAGCATGGCTCTCATTAGCCATGATCCAATTTAAAGAAGAAAACGAGTAAGACGAGCAAAAATCAAAGTTCGGTACGTAATGGGTTTGGTAATCCTAGTACAATAATATGTTGTTAATTTTGGAAGCTCGAGAATAATGAGAGTTGGTGAGATATTCTTCCTTTCTCCATGTTTGTGCGGTGTCTCTTGACATCCTATTTAATTTCTTGTTTTTTGCTTTGTATCACAACGATTATTTCTACATGTTCAAGTGTTATAAAAAAAAAAAAGAGTGCTGAAGAAGAATAGTTTCGACCGCCACTACTATCTTCTTGAATGGCATCTCTAAAATTTTGTATATATGACTAAATGATGAGTTTGTTGTGCATGCCTTCTTCTAGGCCATGCAAACATATACACACGTAGTTATGCTATCTCTGACTTTGTCTGCAAGTACGTTTTGTATTATGCTTGCTATACTAATGGGTCTTAAAACCACACGCTCTGTCAATAAAGGTTGTTTGTTTGCATAAGAAATCATGAACCAAAGACTTTAATAGCAAAAACAGAACAATCAATTAAACATACCAAATCAGGTATAGTGGGAAAATAAGAAAAATGCATTTCGGCAACTGCACGTTTTGACCATTGGATTGAAATTCTTGCATTTGTGGCCTTGCACGAACCTACGTGTTCTTTTAGAAGCCAAACAAAAACTTTTTATTCAAGATATATTTTTCGTCAAAAACGAGTTGCAGAACTGTATGGTGTTTGATTGCTTTCAGACTTTCAGTGGTCCCAAAAGCAAATAGTTCGATATTCTCTTAACCTCTTACTCTCTCTACTTTGGTCTTCATCAAAATCTCAAAAGACAAATAAAAAACATTTTGATGTCTCTTCAACGACCCAATGAGAACTCGAGTTCTTCTCCTTCTTCCACTAATAAGCACAAGACTGGTAGTTTAATTATGAAAAAGTTATTTTTTCGAATTTATTTTGGTTTTGAGAAAAGTGGTTTTTATAATTACCTGAAGAGAGTGAGGAGGAGTTGTTGATGGTTCCAGACATGGAAGCAGCTGGATCAACAGGTGTTGTAAGCAGCAGTGCCGACGATGGAGTCAACAATCAAGAGATTGACCAGACACAAAATGCAACCTCAAACGCCAAGCGACCCCGTGGACGAACCCCAGCTGATAAAGAACACAGGAGCCTCAAGAGGTAAAAAAAATAATGTAAAACCACTTAAGTTATGATGCGTTTGCAATGTAATGAAAAAAAGAAAGTAATGAATGTGAGTTTTTTTTTTTTGGTTTGAGTTTGGAAATATTTCAGATTGTTGAGGAATAGAGTATCTGCACAACAAGCGAGGGAGAGGAAGAAAGTGTATGTGAGTGATTTGGAATCAAGAGCTAATGAGTTGCAGAACAACAATGATGAACTTGAGGAGAAGATCTCTACTTTGATTAACGAGAACACAATGCTTCGCAAAATGCTTATTAACACTAGGCCTAAACCAGATGATCATCACTGAGAAGATCTCTACGTAATCAAATGTTATGATGATTAATTATCTCTTTTGTATAACAGTTTTTTTTATATATAATAACATTTGATTTGAGCATCTCCTGTGGGATAATAAGAGAAAGTAATTAGGATTTAATCGAGATTAATTAGGCTTCTGATTAAACTGTATTTTAAAATGTGTGGTTGGTGGGTCCCACGTCTTGTATATGAAAAGAAGCGTCTGGAAAATTGTTTTCGTAGGGACCAAGCTGCTATATATAAATATATATTCAACTGATTAAGAAATCTGAGAGACTTTGAAGATCAGAAGGAAAGAATCACACCGAAACAATGGCGAATTTTGGCGAAGGAAGAAGAAGAGGAACCGGAGGCATGCTCCCACTGCTGGCGATTAGCACAGTCGCAGAATACTATAGACTACCGTGGAAACCGCCGGTCACGGCAGGTCTATTAGCCGCGAACACTCTCGTCTATCTTAGACCCGCGTTTCTCGATCCCCTTATCCCTCACATCAGCGAGGTCTGGTTCAATCCAAATCTCATCCTCAAGGTAATAATAACTCTTCAATTCGAGAATCCGATTTACACACACGTGATCGCAGTTTCGCCGATATTGAATTCGATTTTTCTGGAGGATTAGGGATTCCTCAATTCGAGAATTCAATTACACACACGTGATTGCAGTTTCGCCGATTTGATTTTCTGGAGAATTAGGGATTCCTCAATTCGAGAATTACGGCTTGTGATCTATGCTAACTAGTCCTGTGCATTTAGATCAGTTCAGTTTATTAGGTTGGGATGTTCAGGAAAAGTTTAGGAACCGGACATATTTCGGATGGGTTCGGATAATGTTGGGTTCGGTTGGGTTTCTATCTTTTTATAAAACCCGAAGTGGAACCGTATTACAAATAATTCGAGTTGGTTAGGATTTAAAGCTCAATAAACCGAAAAAAATCCACAAAATCCGAGTTAAACCCGAAAAGATATTGGGATTCTTTGGGTAGTTCGGATTTTTTAGATATATTTATCTATAAATTATATTTTATACATACTAAAATTAAAATAATTAATATTTTCAACATATTAAAAATATTCTTTATATGTTCGGTTCTCGGTCTGGTTCGGTTTTTTGGATTTAGAAACATATGAACCATTTGGGTTTTTGTAATTTTCGGACCGGTTTGGGTCTCGGTTTTTGGTTAGGTTCCGCTTCAGTTTTCGGATATGGGATAATAGGACTAATGTTAACTTGTTTTACTGTTTGTGTATTTTTGTTTTGAACAGCACAAGGATTTGAAACGCTTCTTTCTATCAGCCTTCTACCATCTCAACGAGCCTCACTTAGTATACAACATGATGTCTCTTCTCTGGAAAGGTATCAAGCTCGAGACGTCCATGGGAAGCACACAGTTTGCTTCTATGGTCGTTACTCTTCTCGGTATGTCACAGGGAGTCACATTGCTCTTAGCCAAGTCCCTCCACGTGTTCTTTGATTACAGGAGAGCGTATTACCACGAGTACTCTGTGGGATTCTCCGGTGTTTTATTTGCTTTGAAAGTTGTTCTCAATGCTCAGGCTGAGGATTACACCAGCGTGTATGGGGTACTAGTCCCCACGAAGTATGCTGCTTGGGCTGAGCTGGTTTTGGTGCAGATGTTTGTACCGAGAGCTTCGTTTCTTGGGCATTTAGGTGGGATTCTTGCGGGGATTCTTTATATGAAGATGAAGAGTTCTTACTCGGGTTCAGACCCTGTGGCTATGGTGGTTAGAGGTGTTACTAGAGCGGTGACGTGGCCTTTAAGGTTTTTGAGCAGCATGGTTGGGTCTCGGAGGAGGAGGATTACGGGGAGAGGAAGAGTGGGGAGAGGGCAGAATGGGATTGCAGGACCTGGTATCTGGAGATGTGAGTCGTGTACGTTTGACAATTCTGGTTGGGAAAGTGTTTGTGAGATGTGTGGCTCGGGACGGAGTGGAGGAAACAGATGGTCAGTGAATCAGGGACAGGCACATTCTTCGACCTCTTCTAGTGATCTTCCTTTAGATGAGCTGCGGCGTAGAAGACTAGAGAGGTTTACTTAACAACGTATGGAGCATTCTTAGAGGGGAGGAAGAATTGTGAATGAAGTTTAAGCTGAGTCACTCATTGCATTAGCTTATGACTAGAGAGCTTAGTGATTTGTCTTCTCTTCTGTTGTTGAAGATTTGGTTCTCTATGTATGGGTCCTTATTGCAAATGAGTGTTCTTGTATTTGGGTATAATTCGAGGGACAACACGGAATCTTTGTGATGAAATTAAGTGCTTATAGGGAAAAAACAATGTTTTTTATAGTGGAGTTACGAATAATGTTGCCATAATGAGTATGTGACTAGTTTTCAGCTTTTGAATTTTTGAGTCACTCAAACCAGACTCCGATCTCTGAGGAGTTGGGCTACAACACAGCTAGTCCCACTGTCTACAGAAGTTATCAGCTGAACCATCTCTTAAGCTTTAGCGTGAGACCCTTAGCTTCAGTTAGATTTGCATATCTTGATCTCTCTTTGTATGGGTGAATGAGACAAACATTGTCTAAAGTTAAACCGCCTTTGGAATTGATTAGGAGGTGGCAAACTATAGCAAAATCCTGCGTGGAGAAAGGGGTCACAAATGTGGCCTTTGGCCGTGGTGGTTACTGTGAGTTGTTCTTCCTCTTTTTAATGCATCTCATGAAATATTGTGTATCCTATACATGTACATTGATATAAGTGAAATTGGTTGATGTTTAGGAATCTTTGAAGGGAGACATCAAATTGCCTCTTTTCAGGAGACATTTACAAGTGCTTGTAAAATTAGGAAAACTGACATAACAGAAATGAAAAAAATTGGTGCAGTATAGGCAGTTCATGTCTGTGAAAGGAGAGATGCAATTTGGTTGGAAGTTAAGTAACTGACTGTCTATAAATAGAAAAGGTGCAAGGTGTATGACCCTGGACTTGGTATGTCTTCATTCTCGCCTTCCTATTCTTAGCACTGTCTACATAAATAGTTTTCTGTTACTCCCTTTTATATCCTCACTTCTTGAAGTGGAATTCTGTATATGAAAACAGAAGGCGTAGCAGAATAGATCTTGTTTTCCTCCTTTCTCCTCCTGGCCAAGTCTCATCCCTCGCTTGGCAATGCAATGAGGGAGCAGACAAGGGCATTATTGAGGGGTTAAGCGGTTTTGCATTTCTCTCGACCAAATCATCAACCCCTGAAAGTTAGATCGTGAGGAGGATGGCTAGCACCACCAATGTTACAAGCGCTTGCCCGGCTGCAATGAAGGCTTCTTCTAATGGAGCCTTCCAACACGAAAGCCCTCTTGATTTCGCGCTTCCTCTGATCATCCTACAGATCTGCTTGGTGGTTGTGTTTACAAGGCTCTTGGCTTACCTTCTTAAACCTCTCAAACAGCCCCGGGTCATTGCCGAGATCATTGTCAGTTTCTTTCAATCTCTCTTTTTTCTTTTCAGTTATAATTTATCATATAGTAAGAGACTAAAATGTATGGTTCTGTAGGGAGGGATACTGCTTGGACCTACTGCTCTGGGACGAAGCAAGGTGTATATTGACACCATCTTCCCTGAGAAGAGCCTAACCGTTTTAGACACGCTCGCAAACATCGGTCTTCTGTTTTTCTTGTTTCTAGTTGGGCTTGAGCTTGACTTTGCAGCCATCAGAAAAACCGGAAAGAAGTCACTATTGATAGCCCTAGCTGGGATCTCACTTCCTTTTATACTCGGTGTAGGCACATCTTTTGTCCTCAGTTCCACAATAAGCAAAGGAGTCCACCAGCTTCCATTTATAGTATTCATGGGTGTTGCCTTATCAATCACTGCCTTCCCTGTGCTTGCTCGTATCCTAGCTGAGCTGAAGCTTCTAACAACCGACATTGGACGTATGGCGATGTCTGCAGCGGGTGTCAATGATATTGCAGCTTGGATACTCCTCGCGCTCGCGATTGCTCTCTCAGGAAATGACAGTTCTCCTCTTGTACCTCTTTGGGTTCTCCTCTCTGGATCTGGTTTTGTGATCTTTGCAGTTTTGGCAATCAGACCTCTCCTTGGTTACATGGCTAAACGCTGTCCTGAAGGAGAGCCTGTGAAGGAACTCTATGTCTGTGTCACTCTAACCTTGGTTTTAGCGGCGAGCTTTGTGACAGACACTATTGGGATACATGCTCTGTTCGGGGCGTTTGTTGTTGGTATAGTTACTCCTAAAGAAGGCCCTTTCTGCAGGATCTTGACTGAGAAGATAGAGGATCTTGTCTCAGGGCTTCTTCTACCGCTTTATTTCGCGTCTAGCGGACTCAAAACCGATGTAACAACAATCAGGGGAGCACAATCATGGGGACTCTTACTTCTTGTCATACTCACCACTTGTTTCGGGAAGATTGGAGGAACCGTTGTGGCCTCGATGCTCTGCAAGGTTCCTTTCAGAGAAGCCATGTCACTTGGTGTCCTTATGAACACCAAAGGTTTAGTTGAGCTTATTGTTCTAAACATCGGCAAGGACCGTAAGGTGCTGAATGATCAAGCGTTTGCGATCTTAGTCCTAATGGCACTGGTCACAACCTTCATCACAACTCCACTTCTGATGGCGATTTACAAGCCTGCGAGAAGAGGAGCACCGTATAAGCATAGAACAATCCAAAGAAAAGACCATGACTCCGAGCTACGGATACTCGCTTGCTTCCATAGTACACGAAACATCCCTACATTGATTAACATGATCGAGTCATCAAGAGGGACGGGACAAAGAGGACGTCTCTGCGTCTACGCGATGCATCTAATGGAGCTCTCTGAGCGGTCATCAGCGATAGCGATGGTTCACAAAGCTCGGCTGAACGGTCTCCCGGCGTGGAACAAGGTGGAGAGATCAACGGATCAGATGGTGATCGCCTTCGAGGCTTACCAGCATCTCCGAGCCGTAGCGGTTAGACCAATGACAGCAATCTCTGACCTTAGCAGTATACACGAAGACATATGCACAAGCGCGCACCAGAAACGAGTAGCGATGATTCTCCTCCCGTTTCACAAGCATCAGAGAGTAGACGGAGCGATGGAGTCGATAGGTCACGCGTTCCACGAAGTTAACAAACGTGTCTTGCAACGAGCTCCTTGCTCCGTTGGGATTCTTGTGGACAGAGGACTCGGAGGAACGTCTCATGTAGTAGCCAGCGAAGTTGATTACAAGATCGTGGTTCCGTTCTTCGGAGGGTTAGATGACAGAGAAGCTCTCGCGTACGGGATGAAGATGGTGGAGCATCCAGGGATCTCACTAACCATTCTCAAATTCGTAGCTGCGAAAGGGACGCTGAAGAGATTCGATAAAGGAGAAGACGACGAGAAAGAGAAGAAAGTAAAAGAGATTGATGAAGAGTTTTTGAGGGAGTTGATGAACGATCCAAGAGGGAATGAGTCGTTGTCTTATGAGGAAAGAGTCGTTGAGAGCAAAGAAGATGTCAAAGCGACGCTTAAAGCGACGAGCAAATGCAATCTTTTTATCGTTGGGAGAAACGCGGCGGTTGCGTCGTTGGTTAACAGTACGGATTGTCCGGAGTTAGGACCGGTTGGAGGTTTGTTGTCGTCGTCGGAGTTTACAACCACAGCGTCGGTGCTTGTTGTTCAGGGATACGATCCTGCGGCGGATACACGGCCGCTCATAGAGGAAGATGTTGACTATGAAGGTTCTTCCAGACATATTTCAGGCTCGATTGTCTGAACGAATCGGTATCAGCTTATTACAGAGCCAAAACAAACAAAAGAGAAAAGTGGGTCTGTGTTTTGACTTTTGCCTCACGAAACAAACTAACAAAAGAATCGTATCATGTTCATTTTTTTTTTTTGTAGTAACGGTTGTCACTCTTCTATTTATGCACATGAAATCAACTTCGGAATATTTTAAAGCTGAAATCAAACACACCAATTTTCCCTCTAAAAAACAAATTGTTCCCAACTATTTTTTAATATGAAACTGTTCCCAACTATATAATATTTTAAATATTTTGATTATATATGGGTTACATGTCGAGATTTAGATACATCAGATAAGAAATATTCTCTTATAAACATTAAATATTATTCTACAAATAATTTTATGATATTTAAAACTTTATATAGATAAATTTATGTTTGAAAAATAATTAATAGTAACTGAGTGAATAAAAATATAATATATTTTAGACAACATTTAGATATATCAAATTGAATATTTGATTATAAACAATCCATATTAATCTACAAGTAATTCAAAAATAGTTAAGTCTTAGCATAAATAGATTTTATTATTTAAAATAATTAACGGTAATGGTTAAACATATATTTTAAAAAAATAAATACATATATTTTGAACCTTATAAACTAAATGTGTAAAATTTATAAGATACTTGGGAAATATTATATAATTAAAAACGTTTTTAAATTTCAATTTTCCTAAAATTTAGCTAAATCATTTTAGGAATATATTGATCATAAAAATCTAGCTAAATTTAATTTAGAAAATGGTTTAGTAAAATAAAAAAAAGACAATGGTTACTTAAAGTTAGGTTTATTTAATTCTCAATGACATTAGATTGTAAGAGCATCCGCAACAACAAGTCCTTAGGGAAAATCCTTAGGGAAATATTAATTTTATAATCAACGGGTCCCATGAACAGTTAAGTATTTTATCTTTAAAATCCTTATTTAAGGATTGATCCTTACACTATTCGCGGTCTCCACTGCTCACGTGGCGGCCCGTGAATTGTCAGTTTTTTTTTTAAAAGAAAAAATCTGAAATATACTTATATAATCCCAAAATGCCTATTTTTCTTTTTCCCTAATGACCATTGTTACGGGTGATCTTAATATTGTGCAAGTTTAATGATTAATTTAAATTTGTACTTCTATTTTAATACATTAGATTGTATATTCATCTATCTATTATATTCATTTATGAAACAAATATAAATGTATGTTTCCTATACAGTAGAACCTCTATAAATTAATAAATTTTGCTGGTCTCAATTTGAGCCGGTGTAAAATATAACACAAAGCGATAAAATAATAAGATAATAGCATTTTTAGAACTTTCATGTAAATATTTAGTCTCATTAAAATCATAAATTAATAATTTATCTTTATATATTTTTATATAAGTACAAACTAAATATTATATTGTTGGTTTTATATTCACAGTGCAAATACTTCTAATTTTTCTTAAAATTTCAATATATTTTGATAATATTTAGTAAAATTACATCGAAAACTCAATAACAATTTTATGAAACATAAAAAATACACCAAATAAGATAATAAAACAATATGAAAGTCAAATTTTATATATGGTAAAATCAAATATTTTTTTATTTTATATACAAAAATATTAGAAAACAGAAAAAAATCTGAAAAATGAAACTTTTGTAAATTAATATCTCTATAAATTAATAAAACAATAAAATCCTAACATTATTAATTTATAGAAGTTTTACTGTATATAGCCTTCATTATTTCCTGAAACAATATTTTCCCTAATTCTTTTCTATATTTACATGGAAAACTTCCTTTCCTATCGCCTGGAGAGTAATACATTTCTTTAGTTTTATAAGCATTTTTGCATAAAAATATTTTGTCAAAAGATTTAGTTTAATTAAATGAAAGATGTTTTACAAAAGAAAAACATACTGTATATTGCTTGATTTTCCCTAAAAAGAAAAAGAAATATTGGATCAGATATTATTTATTGCTTCTTTTTAACAAGGTCGAAAATATATATATATTGAATCCTATATTATCAGAGATATAGTTTAGTAACTACATCGAAAAGGAAGACCTAATGGATCTGCATGTTATGCTTCCGTGGGAACTAGAGGAAGAAATACTCTCTCGTCTTCCACCTAAATCTCTTGTTCGATGCAGAGCCGTGTCTAAGAGATGGAACTCTCTTTTCAACGACAAGAGTTTTATCAACAAGCACTTGTGTCTCTCCCGTCCTCAGTTCATCTTCATGACCAAATCAAAGATTTATTCAATAGACATCATCGATCAAAGTATAGATTTGCGTGAGCTACACTCTTCTTGCAGGGATTTAAATTCGGAATATGGAAACATCAATACTTGGGATGATCTCTTGTTCTGTGAATATCCATTCGATTCTAAGAAGGGGATAGCGCTCTGGAATCCATGGTTGAGACATGTTAACTGGATCAAGTTGTCCGTGGACCGAGACTTCGAAGTTTTCGGTTTAGGATACGACAATAGTAGACCCCAAAAGGTTCACAAGATTTTACTCTACTTAAGTTACTTCCCCCAACCCCAGAAAATTGCGATCTACGAGTGTGCCTCGCAAGCGTTGAGGTTTATTGATACACCTGGCGATAACATGCACATATCTGAAATAGATAAACGGTCACATGTGTTGTCCTTGTCTGGAAATTTGTATTGGATTTCTTACAACTACCTGACTGGTGAGTATTTCATCCGAAGCTTTGATTTCACTAGGGAGATTTTCAAACCCTTTTGTCTCTTTCCCTTTCAAGTTAAACATATTAAAAATGAAGCTCTCCTTGCGGTTTGGAAAGGAGATCGGCTTTCGTTGTTAAAGCAATGCTATTTACCAAGGAATGAGATTGAAATTTGGGTAATGGAGAATAAAATTGATGTTAAAGAAGAAGTGGTGTGGATCAACTTGATGACCTTGACAGCAAGCAATTTGCCAAATTTGTCTGGGATGATTTATCGTGTTAGTTACTTCATCTATGATAAGACCCTATTCATGTGTTGTGACAATGGGAGTAGAGATCCTTACGTCCCTTGCATCCCTTGCATCTATATTGCGAAGGGAGACATGTGCAATATGATTCCGATAGGTTCTGGCCAGGACGGTTGGTTTACTCACAGTGCCTATGTTCCAAATCTGAACTCGGTTCCTTTTACAATTTCAGACTGAGTGAATTGTGACAAGTCTAGTATTATCAGTTTTTTCTTTTTAAATTGTTCCCTGTCTTTTGTTTTATTTGAAGAAATTGCCAACAAAATATATTTCTTGGTGATATATATACTACTGTAAAAAAAAAAGATATATATACTACAATAAACTAACGTAACGTAACATTTAATCCATAACGTAACGTTAACATTTAATCCACTATCAGTCTATCACACATTCTCTATGTGTTCATTCACGTCCTTTCCTTTCTCTCTTTAAAATCTTTCACCAAACGAAAACTAACAAAGAGAAAGAAGAAGATGCTCAAAAACATCAACACCATGAGCTACACTTTCTTATTCTTTTTCTCACTCTCATCCACTCTACTTTCTCTTCTTTAGTTCCTACGGACGGAGCCCCTCTTGAGCCCATCAGAGACTCTTTAACGGACATGTCCGGCTCAGACTTCTTGACTACTTGGGACTTCTCAAATCTCTAATAACAAAGAATTAATAAGAACAACTTTTCTTATTAGCTTTAGAAACTATTCAAAACTAAAGCACTCAATGTTTTTCTTAGATCTCTTATGGAACACCTCTCCATAAAGTCTGTATTTATAGTGAAAGACAATTAAGAAACACAGACTTGTGACTCTCGAGTTACCTGCATAGTTTGTGGATATTTTTTTGTGGTTGCAAGATAAACGTGGTATTCCTGACCCCCGAAGACAGAACCCTTTAAGAAGATCAGTGTATCAAGAAAGTTCTGTTGGTTATTCAGAGTTCAAATTGCTTACTCGAAGGAAGACTGTTGTTTGGAAGAAGGAAGCTCTTCATCACCTAAGAATTCGAGGACGAATTCTATTAAGGGGGGAGAATGTAGTAACCCTCCTGAAGGGATAAAATGGCCGAGATTGATTGGTCGAGATTTATGGTTGAGTATCAACTTTGTGGTCGAGTCGTAGACGATAATTTTCTCTCGAGAAGTTTTGAAGTTCGAGATGGTCAAAGAATGGATCGTGAGTAAACCATGAGTCGAGATAAGCTGCTCTACCATGCTAGACAATGTCTTAGATTAATCAGTCGAACATTTTGGAAGCAACACAGTTTTGAAGCACGACGACTTAGAAGCTCGACGATCCCGAAGCTCGACGTTACTTAGCGACGAAGTTTTCTGTGAAACTTTGTAGCTATCAATAAAATATTATTTCGGAGACATATTGTCTGAAGCAGGACGGGAATCAAGCCGGCCGAGAAGCAAGTAGGACGGGATCAAAGCATGACGGCAAAATTCGAAGACGGGCCGAAATAGCCAAAATCGGACGAACGGACCGAGAAGCACAAGGTGGCTTAATCTATGAGCTCAGGACGTGGTGTCAACTGCCTAGCATGGTATGTGGCAAGGGAAGCACGAGGTGTTGCAGCACAAACGATCGCAGCATGCGGAGTGACACACAGAAGCACGAGGTGCCGGCGTACATGCGACCGGAGCATGCGGACCGCCATGTGGAGTTGTTGTGGCGACTTAATTTCATGATCTTCAGTCATTCAGCTTTACATCTGGGAGGAGTGGTGGCGCCCTGCATGAGACTGGAGCATGCTGGCCGACATGTGGAGCACGAGGTGCCTCTGCGCAAGCGCCCGGAGTCATGCGAGCCGACACACGGGCCGCCACAAACTCGTTTTTGATTGGATGCTGTCTCCTATATATAGCCCACGACCCCCACTCCATTTAGCCACATTCAGACCACTTCACATCTACTTAAAAACGTGAGAGAGAAAGCTAAAAAGAAAATAAGAGTTTCTGAGAATTTTCGAGAGTTTTCGAGATCAGTACTCCACCAGTTTTGGATCGGCACCTAGGGAAGGTTCTGTTCAGCTGAATATCATCCAAGAAGGTCAGTCCAGACGTGGATATACTTTACAAGGTCAAGAAAGGGTTCGGATCACGGAAGTCGGATTTGGGGTCAAGGCCACGTTCAGCCAAAACACTGTGAGTTATGATCAATTGCTTGTTAACTTGTTTTCATGCAGGTTCCTGTTACTTGAAGTTAGATTATGGCAGGAGGCTGATTCTAACTTAGTAACAGTTTGATTAGTTAATAATAGAGATTAGTTAATCGTGATTGATTGAGTTTATTGCATGCTTAGATAATATCGCTAAGTTGTGGATAGATAGGTTATCTGGAATCTATGCTTAGTCAATTGCTAGGTTGATAGATTTCATGCTTAGATTATTATGGTTGTTCTTGTGTGTTGCTATGGTTGAGTGCAGGTTCCCGTTATTTTTAAAGATAGTTTCATAGCAGGAGGCTAAACTATCTGGGTAACGGTTTGATTGATTGATTGTTAGATTTAATTAATCTTGTTGATTGAGGTTAGTATCTCTTGGTAAGGGAGTGACTAACCGGATGAGCTATTGTTATTTGATTATGCATTCATGTTAGGCATGTTTAGGAGTGATTAGTATGATGCCATATAGCGTGTACGAAACCCGTCCATGTTAGGCATGTTTAGGAGTAATTATTGTGATGCCATATAGCGTGTTCGAAATCCGTCCATGTTAGACATATTAGGGGTGATTAGTGTTTCCTCCCGACCTCGTACCCAGCGGGTTCAAGAAAACCCCTTATTCGCTGGATCGGGAAGAGGCTGGCAGTGACCCAGCTGTGACTGTGGGCTGTCTCGCGGTGACCCGAAGGGCTGTGGGCCGCGATCGGTTGAAAGTTCCTACTTATTGTCTTTGTGATATTAGGTTTGGATATTGCCGAGGATGTGGAGGAACCTAGTATCGCCAGGGCCCTAGTTTTAGTGTTGAACCTTAGATTGAGTCTAGGTTAAGTGTAGGTGGTTAGCAAATCATTAGCGGTTAATGTTTCATAACGTTAATTTGCTTGCTATTGTTTCTGCTGCGTACTTGTGTTATTAGTTGCATGTTATCTTTATAATTGTGTTTATTTATTATTAGGTGAACCTCTCACTTGAGATTGTTTGGGGTGAGATAGTGAGAGGTTGTATATTGTTAGATTGGGGATCTTAACTCACTGAGTAATACTAGATTACTCATTCCTCACTCTTTGTTGCAGGTGACCAGTAGATCGAGTCAGCCTGTAGAGATCGCGGGGAGTTAGGCCGGCTGGTGTAGATTTGCTATCTTTTTGCTTGCAACGTTTTCAGACTATAAGTATGTATCTTTTGCTCGCTTGGCATGCCACTACCTGTACGATATTTTGTGTTTTGTGAACCAGATATGATATAAAATAAATAAATCGATGTTTTATGTAAATGCCTTGTTTTATCTGATATTAGCTTTGTCCAAGCTAACACAACGTCAGATTGGGGTACAGGTTGAGAAGTCTTAGGCCTTGGTCTGACGGGACGTGTTAGTGGACAGTCAGGCCTAGTCACAAATTGCACCCTTTGTGACCATGGCTGGATTGTTCCTAACCCGTCATGTAGCGCTTCTGAACTTTGGTAGAAAGTCGGTCCGTCGGTCATGTTCTTGTTTGATTGTTGGCTGATGGTTCGACCTATACCTAGAATGGTTCGGGGGTGTTACAGTGACCATCTTGCCTTCTTCACTTAGTATCTCACTCAACAAGTCCTTGATCCATATAGCTTGCTTCGCTGCTTCTGTTGCTGCCATGAACTCTACTTCGCATGATGACAATGCAACCGTCTTCTGCTTCTGCGACGTCCAAGTGATCAACGATGAACCATAGTAGAATGCATGTCCTGACGTGCTCCTCCCGTCATCGAGATCAATATTGTGACTTCTGTCACTATAACCAACGACACTCCTTGACCCATCTCTCTTGAAGAACAGACCGAAGTTTGTTGTTCCTTTGACATACCGCAGTATGTGTTTGATGGCTTCTCCATGAGAGTCTCTCGGATTGTGCATGTATCTGCTTAGAACACCCATTGCATAACACAAGTCGGGTCGTGTGTGAAGCAGATACCTCAAACATTCTATGGTTCTTCTGAACTCCGTAGCATTTATATCTGGTTCATCTTCAGCTTTTGAGATCTTCAAGTTCGCCTCTATTGGAACTTGAGTTGCGTTACACGTCTCCATCTTCATGTCACACAGGATTCCTTGAGCATACCTTTCTTACTTTATTCTGATTCCGTCTGCTCCTTGAATCACCTCAATGCCAAGGTAATACGTTAGCTTACCTAGATCTGACATCTCGAACTTCTTTGACATCTCCTCCTTGAAACGCTTAATCACCTTAAGAGAAGTTTATGTCACAAATAGATCATCAACGTAGATGGCTATGATCAAGACGTCTCCTCCTTCAGTCTTGCGGTAAACTGATGGTTCCTTATGCACTTCTCAAATCTCATCTCCTTCAGAACCTGATCGAGTTTCACATTCCATGCCCTGGATCGACTCAGCCGGTCTATCTATTATGTTCATTTATGAAACAAATATAAATTTATGTTTCCTATATATAGCCTTCATTGATTACCAAAAAAAAAAAATATAGCCTCCATTATTTCCTGAAACAATATTTTTCGTATTTCTTTTCTATACTAGGATAAGACATGCGTCTTGCGCAGAGTGAATGTATGTAATTAAATTATAAAATTTTAGTATTGACAAATTTAAATTTACATATGATTGTTTTTATATGTATTTAAAATTTAAAATTTTGGAATTTTTATATAATTATCTATGTGTAGGATCAAAAAAATTGTAATTAGAACTGTAGATCAAAGCTTAGAATTTAATGAACCCGATTTCATATATCTTTTCACTTTTCAATGTTCGAGTGCTGGAAAATAAACGGAGTGTCACTGTGCTTGATTGGTAGAGTATTAGCAAGTCCTCTAATGCTTTCTTAAGAAGCAGTTGGTAATATTTGTATTTAAAATATATGAAGTTTCAAAACTAATTTAAGATAAGTTATTTATTTGTCTAATAATATTAAAAATTATATTTTCACAAATTATATATTTTTAAAAAAATAATTATATAAAAATTAAGATAAATTTAAAATTATTTTTAAAACAATAAGTTTTTAAAATATAAATAAACAATTTAAAATTAATTATTGTCATCATTTAAAATAACCATAACGATTTAAAAATTAAAAATTAACAAATTAAAAATTAACTCAGTTTTATATCATGATTTAAAATTTTTAAAATTAATTATGTTTATGAGAAGTTTATGTTCACGTGTCAATCCTATTTTTCTTCAATTTTTTCTCTTGTTGTGTATTTTTTTATTTTGGTTATTCCTCGATATAAATATTTATTTTGAAGTTTATTCTCATTTCCTTTGTTTGTTTTCACCTGGGATTTAGAAAATACTTAAGATTTAGAATAATTAAAGAGAAACATACTTAGGTTAAGATCTGCACTTTATGCACAATAAGTATTTTATATTTATATTTATTTATATTTTTCTGCATATTATAAAATAGTAAATATATATATTAAATAACTAAAAAAATCAGTTACTATTATGTAATAAATTGGCGTATGCATATAAATTTAACTATCACTCTTGTTTATTCACAATTAGAGTAAATAAATCAAAATAACTAATCTAATATTTTGTATATGATATATAATAAAATTAAAAAGATATAAACATAGTAATATAACACACTTTTAATATGGATATTTATTAAATGAGGTTTATACTCATATGATTTTATGATTATTTGAATATTTTTGAAACAAAACTTTACACTAACAATTTTTTTTTACTGTGAGATGTTTAGTACTTTCAATAGTTTATAATCATTTAAAAAAAATAATGACATATTTCAAAATTAAAATATTAACTTTTCAATATATGTTCAATGCAAATATCAAAATATAAGTATAATTTTTCATACGATGTATAGTTTAATTTAAACGATATGAAATATATATAAACTAAAATTATTTCTTCATATGGTCTTATAATCATTATATTTTAATACAGAAAAAATAAAACCTTGATCCTAAAACTTTATATGAGGCTTTTAACAGTTTTAGTAATTTATACTCATTTTGAAAAATTCGAAATACAACATACACACAAAAAAATTCTAGATTTTTATTATATGATTAATGCAATTGTGTAATTTATTTTAATAATAAAGAATAAACAAAATGAGAAAAAGTATACAGACTGTTATCAAATCTTTTTGTTTAAAATCATTAATTGTCATATATATATTTTAATCATATTAGATAGTTCTGTATGTTTTATTTAAGGAAAGCATGCGAAATAATAAATATTTGATACATGCGACCAACTATAACTTACGAAATATTATATTGTTAGAGAGTATAATTTTTAGACTATACATTATATTACATGCTTTAGAATTTTTCTAAATTGAAATAGAAGACAAAGAGTTATGCCACATAAGATTGAAGTTATTTTTAGTTATTACAAATTTAAAAATATTGTATTTTTACATAAAAATATTTTGTCAAAAGATTTAGTTTAATTAAATGAAAGATGTTTTACAAAAGAAAAACATACTTGATTTTCCCTAACAAGAAAAAGAAATATTGGATCAGATATTATTTATTGTTTCTTAACAAGGTCGAAAATATATAATATCGAATCCTATATTATCAGAGATATAGTTTAGTCACTACATCGAAAAGGAAGACCTAATGGATCTGCATGTTAGGGTTCCATGGGAACTAGAGGAAGAAATACTCTCTCGTCTTCCACCTAAATCTCTTGTTCGATTCAGAGCCGTGTCGAAAAAATGGAACTCTCTAATCAACGAAAAGAGTTTCATCAACAAGCACTTATCTCTCTCCCGTCCCCAGTTCATCTTCCTAACCAAATCAAAGGTTTATTCTATAGACATCATCAATCAAAGGATAGATCTGCGTGAGCTACACTCTTCTTGCAGGGATATAAATTTGGAATACGGAGCCGATATCACTACTTACGATGATATCTTGTTCTGTAAATATCCATTCGATTCTAAGAAGGGGATAGCGCTCTGGAATCCACAGTTGAGACATGTTAACTTGATCAAGTTGTCCGTGGACAGAGACTTCGAAGTTTTCGGTTTAGGATACGACAATAGTAGACCCCAAAAGGTTCACAAGATTTTACTCTACTTAAGTTACTTCCCCCAACCCCAGAAAATTGCGATCTACGAGTGTGCCTCGCAAGCGTTGAGGTTTATTGATACACCTGGCGATAACATGTCCATATCTGAAATAGATAAACGGTCACATGTGTTGTCCTTGTCTGGAAATTTGTATTGGATTTCTTACAACTACCTGACTGGTGAGTATTTCATCCGAAGCTTTGATTTCACTAAGGAGATTTTCAAACCCTTTTGTCTCCTTCCCGCACAAGATAAACTATCTTGCGATGAACATCTCCTTGCGGTTTGTAAAGGAGGTCGGTTTTCGCTGTTAAAGCAATGTTATTTAACAAAGAAGATTGAGATTTGGGTAACTAAGAATAAGATTGATGATAAAGAGGAAGTGGTTTGGATAAGCTTGATGACTTTGACAGCAACTAACTTGCCAAAGTTGTTTTATAAGATGTATGGCGTTAGTTACTTCATCTATGATAAGACCCTATTCTTGTGTTGTGGCGACGATAAAAGTAGACAGCCTTGCATTTACATAGTGAAGGGAGACATGTGCAATAAGATTCAGATAAGGTATGGCAAGACCAGTTGGTTTTCTCACTGTGCCTATGTTCCAAATTTGAACTCGGTTCCTTTTACAATTTCAGACTGAGCGAATTGTGACAAGTCTAGTGTTATCATTTTTTTTCTTTTTAAATTGTTCCCTGTCTTTTGTTTTATTTGAAGAAATTGCCAACAAAATATATTTCTTGGGTGATATATTTACTACTCTCGATGGATTGATTGGATAGTATAGGAGACTTGTTGAAGTTTCGTGTTGTTAAAGGTAGGATTAATATTAGTTTAAACGGAATCTCCTCTAGTCTTAATTGACCTCCTCAAGAGTTTTGTGTGAACATGAAGCAATAAAAAGGACTAGAGGAGAATAGTTATTCGAATGGTGAAGGTTATAATTGGTTTGAGAAGGTTACAATTGGTTTCAGTTGATTTGAGAAGGCGTGTGGTACAAGTTCCGTACAGCTTTGTGTGACAAGTAACCTAAGGGAACCTAGAGTAACTTGGAGAACCAGTTTAAAGAGGAGAAGACCGTTGGGGAGTCTGGACAAAGCAGGTGCAAGTGGGTTGAGTTTTATATATTAAATCTCCTGTCCTTGTAAGCCTTATTTGACTTTAAATACATGTTGTAAGCAACCTAAAAAGTCAAGGAAACAGTTTTCCTCAGAAATAAATTCTCTTGTGTAACTCTCTCTCTCCTCTCTTCTCTCTCTCACGAAAATACTACCTTCTCTCATCTGTTCTTGTTGTTCTTCCTTCTTCTCAAACAAACCAGTCTCTAAATACTCACATTTGAACATGGTATCAGAGCCACAAGGCTTCTGAACCTACTCTTTACTTCCGCAAAAGCAAAATCTCTGTTCTTACTTCATTTCCTTCCAAGATTCACTCTATTATCCACTGGTCAATAGCAGTGAAAGATGGAGAAAATGAAGCCTATTACCATCCCTGTGACTCTAAAAGGGATTAACTATCTCTTATGGTCCAGATTGGTGAAAACTGCCCTTGGTGGAAGAGGACTTTGGAGTCATGTAGCTTCTGGAGAAATACCAAAGTCAACCACACAAGGAGAGGATGGAAAAGAGGTGGTAGTCACTTATGAAGATAAATGGGGTCAGGAGGATCTCTTAGTGCTCTCAGTCATTCAAAACTCTCTGGATCCAGCTATCTTGGAAGCTTATTCTTATTGTGAGAGCTCCAAAGAATTATGGGAAACTCTTAGTAAGGTTTATGGAAACATCTCCAATCTAACTCGAGTTTTTGAAGTTAAAAGGGCTATTAATGCTCTCAGCCAGGCNCTCTGGATCCAGCTATCTTGGAAGCTTATTCTTATTGTGAGAGCTCCAAAGAATTATGGGAAACTCTTAGTAAGGTTTATGGAAACATCTCCAATCTAACTCGAGTTTTTGAAGTTAAAAGGGCTATTAATGCTCTCAGCCAGGCTGATATGGAGTTTCAAGCTCACTTTGGCAAGTTCAGATCTCTGTGGGCAGAGCTAGAGATGCTCAGACCTCCTACAATAGACCCATCTACCCTGAATGCTAGGCGTGAAGAGGATAAGGTCTTTGGGTTGCTGCTTACTCTCAACCCAACATATAATGACCTTGTCAAACACATATTGAGGGCTGATAAGTTACCAACTCTGGATGAGGTCTGTGCTTAAATACAGAAGGAAGAAGGGTCCTTGGGACTATTTGGAAGCAAAGGAGAACTTGTAGTGGTCAATCAAGTGGAGGCAGCAGTGGCAAATAAGGGCGTGTACAAGCAAGATGAAAAGAAGGTTATGGTGTGTGATCACTGCAAGAAGAAGGGTCACATGAAGGACAAATGCTGGATACTACACCCCCATTTGAAACCAAACAAGTTCAGGGAACAAAGGAGCCAGTATCAAGATGCTAGAGCTCACCTCTCCACGGATGACATGGAACCAGGAACTTCTGGATACTCCTCAATGGGCTCCAACACTGGTATGGGAAGGGCAATGGCGAGTTCATCTTCTTACTCCACGGCTAGAACCCACCAGGATGAGAGCATCAAGAGGTCTGACTTAGAGGCTCTCATCAAAGCCTTAAAAGACCATTCTGGTATCTCTAAAACTCTTGGTATCTCACTAAATGCTTCATAAATTGCTGGTATTGCTATGAATGGATTAAAACCTATTAGATCACTTGTTATAGACTCTGGTGCTTCACATCACATGATTAGTGATCCAAGTTTAATTTCAAATATCAAACCAGCCTTAGGTAATGTAATGATAGCTAATGGAGATAAAATACCTATAGAGGGAGTAGGCGATTTAAAACTTTTTGAAAAAATGTCCAAAG